TTGCATGACTTGAACTTCTTGGCGGAGTCTCCCGAATCTCTGTAATTGGCTGTTTCAGGGGATTACCCCTCGCTGATGATGAGGGGTAACTATTTGGCGGTGAAGAGCCCTCCACTGTTAGCGGAGAGCTCTGATCTGACACAGGGCTAGTTGATAAGCGAGGCATTGAAGGATGAATGTAAGTGGGAGAAAAAACAAGTCGAAGGAGAATTCAGAGCTTTTAGATTTGTGTACGAAACGTATTAGTCAGAAACCCTAAAATAGAAATTTACGTAAGGCCACATAATCAAATGTTTGTATTCATCTTGTAGTAATCCTGCAAACTACTTCCTGTTCATACCAAAGGTAATTCTTACTATGTATGATGTCGAACTTAATTGCGTCTGACCCTTTTGGGCCAGACCCTTTTGCATCCGATTGTTCTGCTGCTTTCGAGCTCGTAAATTCTACGCAGACTCCAACAATCAATACTCCACCTTCTGGTTTACAGATACAGTCGGAAATCATTTTATTTGTTATTGAGACTTTCCAGACTTTTCTCTCGTTTTTCAAAACCCTGCCATGGTATCTCCAATGGGTAATCCTTGGCAAACACACACCGTTGTCCAAATCCCCTCAACCTAAACGAAAACGCTTCGCCAAATCCTTGTGGACTTTACAACGCCGAGTATCATTCTGGGATCACTTTCACCAAGGCTACCATATGACATCAGGGGAGCCAAAATTAGTCTGCAAGCACTGTCACCAAGTTTTCAATCATCCAACAATCAAAAACTCTGGTACAAGTGCTATGCAACGACACCTCGCTGCAAAGTCTTGTAAGACTCGACGTTTAGGCGCAAACCAGGTGCCTGTAAGTTTTACAGGTCATTATAGCAATCATTTGTAGTAATCGCAATCTAGGGTACCCAATTGAAAGCAGTCTCGGAGCATCAAGCATTAGTTTACTGTATTGTTGGATCCAACTTAGCGCTTAATACTGTTGACAACTTAAGTTTCCGGCAATTCTGTTCACACCTGAATCCTCTCTACCACCTCCCATCTCGAAAGACGCTCCGAAGCTGGATATCCGAGGAGGCCTTACGCATTCAACACCACACTCTTCAGCTAATTCCGCCTGGTAGCTATGTCTCTCTGATGATTGATATCTGGAGTACACCTGGGTTAAAATATTCACTGCTTGGTGTTTTATGCCATTTTATCGACAAGCACTGGAGGTTACAACAGGTTCTTCTTGGTGCTATTGATATGACAGATGGTCATACAGCCTCTAAGCAAGCAACGGCTTTATCGACTCTGTTAGAAAATATTCGCCAGAGGACGAAGAAGACAATTCGATTTCAGACAGTCTCTGCAGACAACGCAAGTTCTTTTAAGCCAAAAGTCCTAGCACAAGAACTTGCAAAAGGGTCGACATCCACAGTACAGCCGATATATCATATTCGCTGTTTAGCCCATATTTTCAACCTTGTTGTTCGAGCGATTTTTGAGGCTCTTCGAATTTCGATGGTAGAAGCCTCTACAGAGTTTGAGCCTTCTACTACTCGAGCTAAAGATCAAGAAGACTCTGACGATGATTTTGATACTAAAGATTCTACTGCTAGGGAAAATCCTTTTGGAGCTGTTATTCAAAAGGTTAGATACTTCACCTAGTTATAAGATTTTATATTAACATATATACCTCCAGATTCGTGACCTCGCAGTTTCCCTTAAGCTTTCTAGTAAGAAGACGCAAGAGTTTCTCGACCTCCAGAAATCGACTCGCATTAGCCAGCGACCACTACGCCTCCTCCGCGATGTTAAGACAAGGTAGAACTCTACTACACTTATGTGTCTCCGCGCAAGAGAGCTTAAAACAACGATTTCAGCTTGGGTTGAAAAGCACTCTCTACAGGAACAATTCTCTCTTGTAGAGACCGATTGGGAGGCTCTTGATATTCTGCTTGATATCACCAGCCCGTTTTTACTCTTTACAAACATCCTCAGCCGGTTAAATGACCTTACCCCTGGTCATACCTTTACTTTATTACAAGTTGCAACAGTTCACTTATACTTTTGCGCCTCTGCACTTAAAGATAAAGTTACTAGCAAAGACTTTACTTGGATATCAATCCTTCAGGCTGCTACGAAAAAGGGCCAAGAGAAGCTGGAAAAATACGTTCAAAAGCTAATTGAAGAGGATTCCTTCAAGGTATATGGTATTGCAACTCTCCTTACCCCTGAAGCTGGGACATCAGTTTCGAGTACTTTTGACACGCGATTCCAATTCGCAAATTACTTCGAATACCTTCCTTCTTCAGCCTCACTTCGAACTCGAGTACAGCAAGAATTTATCAAGGTATATACAAAGCAGTACCATCAAGATTCGGAACGCCATACCAATACTCAAAAAGCTGCAACTGAAGGACTCCGATACACTCTGCATAGTTTACTATCACGCAGTCCAAAGAAAAGGGTATTTGTAGCAATCTATTGTAGCAACTCACTGTACTAACCTATTATAAGGGCAAAATGTCATCATCCCAAGACGCACGAAATATCTGTAATGACTTTTTTAATATTGGTAAGATAAAGACTCATATCTTACTAGGCTTAACAGCTAATAACTATATTTAGTTATGTTCCCTGATGAAACTGTTCAGCAATTTTAGGTCCGCCTAGACAATAGCTATCCCAGATTCCATAGTATTTGTCGCATGGCTCGAGACTTCTTATCTATTCAACCGACGTCAATACCCTTAGAGCGATCATTCAGCCTTGCTCGCCATATCTGTCACTACGCTCGGTTCAACCTTTCGGCTGATACTATTTTTGATACTTTGACTATCAAAATTAGCCAGAATAATGAGGCCTGGCTTTCCCAAACCACACTTGAGGAAGTTCCAGATGACACGAATATCACTGAAGCATCTGAAGAGCGCCAGCATATTATTAGAGAAGCTTTTAACTACTCTTCTCTATTGGATAAAGCTGATATTCAGAGATATCTAAAGGTCTCTGATGATCTTACTAAGATCTCTATTACTACTACAGGAGATGCTCCCTCCCCGCCTCCTTACGAAGTCTCAGTAGAAGAGGAGGATATTAGCGATAGAGATGAGGAGCTGCCATCCTTATCTAGCTCTCAACAGCCAAAACTATCGAGTCAAGTTTCCCAACTTAGCAACTCACCTACGCCTTCTGTATCCCAAGAACTCCCAAACTTCTCCGAGCTTGGGGGTCGCAAAAGGAAGAGACTTACTCGGCTAGATCTTGTCGAACTCTCTCCTGACGAGGATAGCGATTAAATATACATTGTTCCTCTGATTTCACTCCGACTTTATCGTATTATTCTCTATTAGTTTCTTATATTTGTAGTAATCTATTCTAGCTATCTATGTTTTATGTAACTTACTCTTTCTCCCTATAACTAACTAGTTATATTTTCTTTCTATCTTAGTTACAGTATTTCCCGCGTTTCTTGTGGGTAGCAAAATTACCCGTGGGTAGTGTAACCCATGGGTCGTTTTACCCACGGGCCTTTCAACCCGCGGGTAAATATAGTGGGACTGCCCGTGGGTAATTCGGGTTTACCCAAACTACCCACGGGTAGTTTTGGGTACTACCCATACGGGTACCCGCGGGTATTACCCAACCCTAAAACGACATGTCAAATATGGATTCGCGGCCAATTTTCACGAGGCCTAGGAAACGCATAGGGCGCCACCGATAACTTTTTGAATATCCAGATTGGGATATAAGGCGAGACTGATCTTAGTACTATAAATGGCAGCAATGTACCCGCGAGCCCAAAAGGCCATGGGGAACGTTAGCTCCTGTACTTTCTGCAGCTTTTCACCCTGCTCAGTTCACCATAATGCGCCCTGATCAACACAATGATTTTCTTAAACATATCCCAGAACTTAGTAGCATGAACTCTGGAAGCCCTATCCATGTGGCTGCTAATGGATCGCAAAGGACCCCTTCATGAGGAAAAGCCCACGCAAAGGTAGCCAGACTTGCTCCAAAGCAATGAGACAATATAATGTCAGCACCCTGTTTCCTGTCTATAGCAGAGGTGCCAGCACAATATTTGGGGTACAAATCATGTACAAGACACTGCCCCTAGTCTTTCTTCTCGTCATTTTACCTGGGTTGCTTACGTTGCTCGACCCATAATCACGTAGGCTTATAAAGAAGATGGTGTTACGTAGCGTTCTATTCAGTTGTGGGGTCTGAAATGTGGATAAAGACAAGACAACCCATTTGTAGCGGAACAGGAGTCGACAAAATACGGCTCTGTAAAGGTCTGGCTTAAGCTGGTGATGTGGAGTACACCTGTCTATCACCGCCCCTCGTAATAGGGATAGAGGCCGGAAAAGTGAAAAAGCCTCCAGAGGTGGAAGCAAGCCTATGGCAGTGGCTGTGAAAAGCTAAAATAAGTAGAATTGAATCCGATTTCAACAAATCATGTTGTCCCCGCGAACTGAACGCATGTTTGCTGATCAATCAACCTTCTAATCTGTCACGGTCGTAATCGCTAGTCATTGACACCTCCACCTGTAGAGAAAGAGAGGGTCCAGGACGCTGGGCGGCTTGAATGTTGCTCCCGAGTTCCGTTCTACAGGGCCTTTCTCCATGCAAAAGATATCTAGCGTCTCGGCAAGTATCCAGTTTGAGGCATTTTACCAAGGAACAGCAAAGTTTTTTGTGATCAGTTGTGTTCATTGCCCAATTCAACGATGGTTCTCGTGATTAGCCTCCACTTTCACATATGCTTATATTGCAAGGCCCACTAAACTACTCCGGTCACTGCCATCTTCAGTTAGGTCGTGGGTAGGATTGCGGAGTTTTTCTCACTACCGAGATATGTAAGCTGGGGATGGTTACAGCCCACATCTTATCGATCTTATCTTATCCATCATATAGTCAACCTTTGTCCTCCATTCTGTACAATTTGTACCATCTGTTAGACTCTTGGTTAGCTGTGAAGGCCTTTTAGACAGTGTTTTCTTGGCATCATGAAGTCAATCATCTTTGGTTCGACGCTGCTCGCGCTGAGCGACATTGCGGCAGCCCATATCGCTGCTCGAAGCAATGTCACGACTACCCGCAACACCACCTACGACTACATTGTCGCTGGAGCTGGAACCGCAGGTATTGTAGCAGCTGAGCGCCTCGCCAACTCTGGTCGCAGTGTGCTTCTGATTGAGCGTGGCGGTACGTCCTTTTACATGACGGGCAACCGCAAGACCATGCCATGGAATGACACCGTCACTATGTACGACGTTCCTGGAATGTCTGACTATACTGGCGCATCTCCTGATCTGCAGTACTGCAAAGACCTTGCTATCGCGGCTGGATGTCTTCTTGGTGGCTCTACCATGCTCAACGCGCTCATGTTCGTCAAGCCTCGCAAGGCGGACTTTGCCACTTGGCCTAAGGAGTGGCACTGGGAGAACGGAGTTGGAGCAGCTGCGGAGGAGTTCTACAAGCGTCTGCCGGGCACCATTTTGGCATCTGAAGATGGCAAGCGCTACGACGATGGTGCTTTCGACATCATGTCTCGCTTCCTGGAGGCCAACGGCTGGAGCGAAAAGGATGCGTTGAATGACGTTGAATCGAAGGAGATGATGTACTCGCACCCCCCTTGGTCGGTGAGTCAAAAGCCCCATACGAACGGGCAGAATTAGTCTAACAACGCCTATGTAGATTGCCCAAGGTCTGCGCGACAGCCCTGTCAGGGCTATTCTTCCTGATGCCGAGGATCTCCCCAACTTCACCCTTCAACTACACGCAAAGGTTCTTCGTGCCGTTCGCGACGGAAGTCTTGTTACGGGTATCGAGCTGGAACATGACGACGGGTCTCGAGAGATTGTCAACCTGACCAAGGGTGGATCTCTTGTTCTTGCTGCAGGCTCGCACTCCACCCCTCGTGTCTTGTTCAACTCCGCCATTGGCCCTTCCAAGCAAATTGAAATTGTAGCCTCCGGAAAGACGAACATTAAGCTTCCGCCCAAGGACCAGTGGATTGAGCTTCCCGTTGGAGAGAACCTCAAAGACCATGCCATCGTGTCCTTAACTCTGCAGAGCAAAGAAAACCTTACCGTTCTACCTTCTACGGCATGGACTGCCCCTGACAAAACATCTATTGATCTCTTCGCCCACGGTAGTGGTCTGTTGGCTCAATCAGGTCAGCGTTTGAACTTCTGGACTAGCGTCAACACCACTGATGGAGCTACTCGTGCCGTCCAGGGCACAGTCCGTGCTGGCACTGATGATAACACCATTGGTGTCAAGGTCTACCTCACCCATGGTACTACGTCTGTCGGCACTGTCGAAATTACCCCCGAAGGTTCTACCAATATGACACAGAAACCCCTTCTGCACACCGAGGGAGACCGCGAGGCTTTGACTACTATCCTTGACACGCTTCTCAAGTACGCGCGACAGCCCGATAGTATCTTGACTGTTGCCGAGAACGTGACTGCCGAAAGCATCGTTGCTACGGCTGGTAGTGGTAGCCATTATCTGGGTACCACTCAGATGGGCAGCGAAAACGACGGGAAGAGTGTCGTTGACCCTGATACTAAGGTCTGGGGTACCAAGAACCTGTTCGTTGTGGATGGAAGTATGCACCCCGAAGTCCCTACGGGTAACACTCAGGCACCTATTATGGTGGCTGCTGCCTACGCTGCTGAGAGAATCCTGGCCCTGGGTTCTGGTGTTGGCTGTTCCAAGTAAGATGTCATGGTGAAAAAGGTCATCAATCTCTCACAGGGATCAATTACAAGAACGTAACAGGCATTTACATGTACAGTAGGGTTATCACATGCAGAACAGCTTGTAGAACCACTTAAAGTCTAATAATAGAATATCTTGTCCCAAATGATAAAGGCTATAGAAAGAGACTGCAAACAGGCTTAGGAATTCCGAGTCATCACCAGAAAGACACCTCGCGGTTGCCATACTTGTGACCTCTTGACTGACCGCCTCAGCCATCTCTAACATAAAAATGTGCTCGTGCGGTTGTACAAGTCCAGCACTTCGAATGCTCATAGCTTTTGTTCGATAGAGGATGATAAATACAAACAACGATACTTAAGGTTGTCAATCTCACTTCATTGACAATATCTAACCGACAAATACTGTGATGAGCCATACGGATGCTTGCAAGAAGGCTTGCGAGATCAGTTTTAAGTTCAATTGGTTGATTTTAGCAACTACTTGATACAATAAGTACCAATTGCCAACCGTAGACGTGCCTACCTTGTTCTCGATGGCCTACACCTTCTCCAGCGCGCCATTGAGCAACTTCTTAGAAAAGTGTTATTGGGATGAAAATGGAGAGGGTGGTATTACTGGTACATGAGAACATATAAAAATTCATTGTGATAACCCGTGGACTTATTATTGGTTTACTATTCGAGAATATACAGATCCCTATCGCTGAAGCACAGCGCTTAACCTACCAACGCCCCGAAGCCAAAACTTTGGGACTCAAGTTGCTGCAAGAGAGGGAAAAAAAAAGTTCTTGTTCAACTTGGTTTTATTATTTTAGCATTCAACAGTATTGAAATAGGCACTCCATGTAAAGTAAAGCCTTGAAAAAAAAACTAAATCGCAAAGGGGGCGTTATTTGCACAAAACGTCCACGACATCCATAGCTTGTTCCTAATAATACATTACATTTCCAGTAATCCAGATACAAACCCGAGCATACGAAACCGTTATTAACAGTGCCTTGACGCTCAAGGACTGCTTACATGATTAAATAGGTTTCAATATTTGTTTGATTTGAAAGGCACTCTTCAACAGCTTAGGCTTTTTATTATTTGTTGTTCAAAGTCTGGGAAGTCTGGCTGGCCGTATTTTATAGCTAATGATGCATACAGCTTAATTAATGGAGTGGAGATTCATACTGCTGCCAGCCTAGCAGTTGATTTCCTGCCTGTACGGAGATATTCATCTTGGCTTGCTCACGATTTGAAGTACCTAATAATGTAGCTAGTCTCACCTTGCGGTATGTTTGAGATATAAGCAGCGGACAAGCTAATCCGGTTCTACTAGTCTTGTTCGCCGTCTTGAGACGGCTCGTTACTATCCGAGAAAAGCACTAGGCCGATACATGGAACGCCGGCCGGCAATGACCTTGAGGATGAGGACCCGCATTTAGCCGACTATGCCTTAGGATTATAGAAACAGGTAAGATGAGGAAACATGCTATATTGGTAGTCTATGCCGAAACATAATGATTGCCGATTAGAAGCCACTGCAGCTGGTGGTAACGCCTAACGGGAGACGTGGGACGAAGGCAGCTGTGGCAGTGGCTGAGATCAGTTGACACAAGCTTGTCGACTGATGATCTTCATAGTATGTGAAGAATACAACCTTCTTACTCTCTTGGCGGGTTAGAAGAGCGAAGTAATAATGATGTGTATATGCATGCATACGTTTCTCGCATGTGGCCATTCACCTTTTGGATGCGTCAAGCTGAGAATGCTGTTGCATCACTGTCCGTGCGGGGACCCAATCGTGTAAAAAGTGAAGAACTCAGATCGAAAACACACTGAACGTGTATTGGCTGTGTTTTTGATGAGCACTCGGACCGGGGGTTCTGTAACATCAAGGTACTGCCGCGTTCATGCGCCAAGTCAAGCATCTGTGCGCCGAATACAACCTACCAAGGTCATTTTCTTTCTTTCCTTCGTCTCAACTTCAGCTTCTCAAAAACGAATGGAAAATGTAATCTGAAGTCAACCGTTACATGGCACTTATACACTAGACACAGCCGTGTGCTTGTCCAGGGCGTAAGACCGAGAAGCTTTGGCTTGGAGAAACTCATCCTTTGTTCGGAAGATCGAAACTAACACTTAACTCTCGGTGGCTAAGACCAACTTAATCGCAAGAGGTCCTTATTAAGTTTTGCTCTATTCTTACAGCCTGTCGGCGCTGGGGACTGTAGATCAACTGGGTCCCGTTGCGGGTCAATGTAGGGGTCTGCGTCGTCCCCATCTGTAACGTATGGTCTCTCTGTGTTAGAAGGGGGGTTGATGTTGTGACACGGAATAAGAACTGGGAAGGGTTTCTTGCATGTAAACGTTGATCAAACCTGTATCCATCAAAGCACCCACCAGTCTACAAGGCGGAGCGCTTTACATCAATTCATCTCCAAAACAGCGCGATCAAAACAGGTGAGGAAGTGGAGTTAAGGCTGAGGAGCACATCGTCCCATCTTCTCAACCTAACAACCCAGGTTTGCAGCCTCAGAAAAGCGCACTGCCGAAAGCAGCATCGCTGTTCAACGGCCCGCCTCGATGCGGCAAGCTTAAACAACCTAGTTCCTGGTCTCGCGGCGATGAACGTTTGTCGAGCAAAAACATGACACGACCGTGCTCGCGGGTAGTACAACATGAATGATTGGCACATTTGTGGTAAGCGGAATGTGGAGGGAGGGTACTCGCCCCTCCTACGAAAAACGGGACGTGGAGCAAAGGGGTAGTACTATGATACACATCCTTCCGGTTACCATATATCACCGTTCCATACATCGTGCGGCTGGCATTTCAGTGGAAATATTCAACCTTGGGAGCTATCCGATTCGATGACATCGCATAGAGAAAGAAGACGCACGGTCATTTGCCCCCACCCAATTCCCTTTACATCATCCATCCCCCTCCCATCTTTGTATGTTTGACTTTGTCTCCTGCCCTGATGTACTCCAAAATGTTGGTATAAGGCTGGCTAAACACCCAGTGTCCCTGGTCACCCGTCCTCTTTGGGAACCGGGATTCAGCGGGTTCTGTTATTTTTCTTTACCTTAATCGCAGGAAGCTGACAATGGCGACGAATACGACGTGGCCGCTCCAGGAAGAGCCGGCTGGTTCGAAGCCGGCGTCGACAGTCATTGTGGCTGAGTCGGATGGTATTAAAGAAGATTTGGGTAAAGGCGAGACGCTGGTCGTCGGTACAACAAATTTGTATGTGAACGGGCAATTGAGGCTAATTCCTGTAAGTGCCATGACGAGGTTTATTTGATATGCATACTGACATGCTTAGATGCCCACGCCTGACCCTAAGGGTAAGCTTCGAAGAGGTCTTTTGTTTTGAAGAAGGACTGCAGCTGAGACCTCACTCTCTTAGACCCATTAAATCTCCCAAATTGGCGAAAATGGACAGCTGTTAGCTGCCTGTGCTTTTGTAAGTCTACCCACAAAGTATCGGATCCCTTAAGACTGACCAGTCCCAGTCGGCGCCCTCGCTCTATCAGCAGAAGTTGTCATCGGAGGCCTTTTGCCTATTTTCATTCTGGAGTACTCTGGCGTCGATCCCAGAATCATTAATAATATTGACTTTAAAGAACAAAGCGGCGGAAATAGTCTAAAACTCAACCCCATGTCCGTCGTTCCACCCGGAGTCAAGCCAGCCCCGCTCGACCAAGTTACCTTGCTGGCCACTATTCCCCTGTTGGCGAACGGCGTCGCGAGTTATTTCCTTGTACCTATATCTATCTGGATTGGTCGTCGCCCTGTGCTCCTTTTTGCTGCGACTTGTGCCTGGGCTGGTGGACTCTTTGCTGCGCTGAGCACAACCTTGAACCAACACTTACTGGCCAGGGGGCTTATGGGTCTCGGTGCAGGCGCGGTCGAGGCATTGATTCCGCTGATTGTTCAAGATTTAGTGTTTATCCACCAGAGAAATAAGGCCATGTCGGCTGTCGTGTCTAGTCAAGGTATCATCATTATCGGGCTAGGTGTGGCAGCACCCTGGGTCTCCGCCAACTACACTTGGAGATGGCTTTACTACATCACTTCCGGCTTGGGTATCTTAGCCTGGGCTCTCCTGATTGCTTTCCTCCCCGAGACTAGATGGAGTAGATCGCAGGAAGAGCTGAGTATGGTCACTTTTGGTCTCACGTTTCGTTATTAAGGCTAACATTCCTAGGCGGCCAAAATGCCTCGTCTCTTGCCCCCGGACAGAACCGACCCGAGCTAGATTACACGAATTACACTCCTAGAACAACTTGGACGAATATCGGAGTATTTCAGAACGGCTTTGAATTCAAGCGCGCTGCAAAGTCCATGTTCGATGCGCTGCGCTCCACCTACTTCCCCGCCATCATTTGGGCCGTCCTTGCCAACAGTATTATGATCATCAACAATCAGGCTGCGCAACAAATAACCCCCTTTGCGCTGCTGGCTCAGGGCTGGCAGTTTCAATGGACAGGTTTGACCGTGCTGCCTTTCTTTCTATCATCAGCATTGGTCTATATCTTTGGAGGTCCCGTGGCTGATAAGATCTCAAATGCGGTAACAAAGTGGAACGGCGGCAGTCGTAAACCGGAACACCATCTCGCTAACTTAATTATTCCTTTTCTTTCGGCTGTAGCAGGGTCTTTCCTTTTCGGCACTGCTGGCGAAAGAAACCTTCACTGGTCTGTCCTACTCGTGGCTCATTTTTGATCATCTTTGCTTTCCTAACAACCATGACTATTCTTAATGTTTTTATTGTTGAAAGCTACCCGCAATGGGCAGGGTTAGTTTCCTCTTTACTTGAAACGCGGTTGTTCTAGTGCTAATGTGAGCAGGCCGGTCCTAGTTAATGTTTCCTCTTTACGTATTGTTATTGCCTTCTTCCTGGCCTCTAAAGCCACCGTCTGGATCGCCGAAAAAGGACCAATGGAAACATTCGCCCTATATGCCGAGACCATCATCATTCTATTTCTTGGGATCCCGGTTTTGTATTTCTTCGGTAAAAGAATGCGTCAGTGGACAGCCGGTAGTGTCAAGAACCACCAGAGCGACAAAGAAAAGTCACTCGACGACAGCGCTTCTGTCTGAAGCTAAAGCGCAAAAAAATAGGCGGAATTTGAAGTGTCCGCCATATACAGCGCTTCTCTCAAACTAACCTGTTAATACTAAGGTATCATGATTATAGATAATGCCAATTCAGTCGCTACCGTCTGATGCAAACAAGGCACATGTGCAAAATCGCATTTACCCCTGCCCAAAGGGGGATAATGAAAGTGATCTACATTGTATGTTCTGAGCTTTACGTTGAAACTCTTATTTGACTCTCAGGATTACATTAAATAATCATCTTAGGCCGTCATGTTTCCTGTAAAAAGGTCCCATTGCCGCCAAGACAGAACTGCCTACTTTTGTAGCAATGCGTCCCAGCACTATCACTATTGCGATTACTATGTAATGCATATTGTACCCTCATATAACTTATAAATGTTGCTTTGAATGTAGTGTAGTGACAAATTTCCGTGGAATCTGTTGGTATATCCGGTAGATGCAAACAAATAAAGAATAGATACAACGTGACTCCGAGTACAAAACTATTGAGGGTGGGAGGCCTGGTTGGACTTGTCCATATTTTGACGGAAATGCGCCTTTGTGGCATTTTCTGGGTTACCATCTAGATTACATACGCAATCGAGTTTCTGACATAATGATGATGTTTTTCTAGTCGATGACTAGGTAGGTTAGGCAGACATTGAGACACAATGCCGCTGCCTTAAAGTACTTCAGAAATCGCGGCAAAGCAACGAGTCAACAGCATTGACCCCAAAATAAAAAAATGAAAGTCTGTTTTAGTTTGGTATACGCGGGGCATCGCATGAAGATGTTTAAATGCATGTTGAGTTGCTTTTGTGTAACCAAGTTAGGCAAACGCTAACACTAAATAATGCTGCCTATTTTAATTTTGTGGCGACGCGACACGTCAGCAGTTTTGTTTCCATGATCGAAAGATAAACGGGAGCCTAGCAGGTTGATCAGCTCTGGCCGTAGCGGGAAATGAAAGTCTTGTATTCTTGTGTATATAAGTCGGTCTTGCTTTGGTTTCTACTGCGGACTTGATCATCAACTCATTCATACTATCTGTGGTTTTTGTTGTATCAGCAGACCCAAAAATCTCAGAGAACCAACACTTGATCAGTCACCAATCACAATGGTCATAACCGAAATTGGCCGAATGGGCGTTAAGCCCGGCATCGACATCATGGATGAGAGCAAGACAGAGGGTACTGTTCTCTCAAAAGCTTACAACACTGTGACCGTTATAGAGGGAGGACCTTACCGCGCATTTTGGGGCTTGGAGGAGGAAAATCCACTCATGGCTTGGGCCTTTTTTGACTTTGACTCCGTCGAACATCATGAAACCTTTGCAAAGCTGTACGTCACAAAACAAGAAATTCTTTTGTTACTCAAAGAGTACACTAACCCAAAGTACATAGTCACGGAGCAGAAATTTCGAAAGACTTTCCGACGGTTCTGACTCATGGAGAATTCGTGAAGCATCTAGCTCTCACTGCCTCATCAGCTGCAGCGCTGCGAGCTCCTCTTTCAGAGATTGTCTTTATACACTTCCCTGGAGACTTATCCGCCGACGATAAAGAATTGATTGTTCAGCAACTGGAACATACTGTGGACAAAAATGTTTCAAAGTCTCCAGGCATTGCTGCTATAAGTTGGGGCTGGAGTGTTGAGAACGACTTCCCCGTTGTAGGAACCAAGGAACAGAGCGGGTCAGTACTTGCGTTGATTATCGGCTGGTCCGGAATCACGTCCCAGAAGAGTTTCCATGAAACCACCCACTGGAAAGCCGTCAAAAGCGAGATTTGTGAGATGAAACGGATCGTAACGGTCACCGGTCTTTCTATTAGCTGTCACAGCTCCGAGAGGAAGGAGGTCCAAGATAACTGACACTTGTTTATTACTTGTCACGAACGTGTCGGAGCCCATTAAGCACAGCGATCCAGGTGTGCAATGCACAAGCTTTCTGAAACTTAGTCACTAAAAGCTGTTTGGTTGTGCATTACGCACCCATACAGCTTTTCTGGAATTTAGTCACTCTTTACATATCTCCCAGCCCTGACTCTATATGCTATAATCTAGGAAATCGATTAAGGTGCAAATGTGACAACCCGTTATATATAACCAACCAGGCCCCACGGGGTTAGGCAGCTAAGACAGGACATTTATGTGTAGAACATATGGAGAGGTAATAAGCGACCTTGGAAGGGAAGGACTGTTATACTAGTTATGTAGAGATAAAATTTATAAGTATACTACTAAGTACGTAAGTACTTATCCTTAGTAATAAGTATTTAGGAGGACATATTCTATAATTGTTAGGACTTATATATAGATTAGTACTTCAACACCTACTCAAGGCTTCTTAGACGATTCTTTACTAATTATCTCAACTTTATGACTTATTTTTTAAAAGTTTATACCTGAAACGTTAAAGTAGTACGTTAAAGTAGTATTATGTTATTAGTATCTAATTATCTCGTGGAAGACTAACAATCTTGTCCTAACCCTTAATATATTAGTACGCCTATCAGTTAACAACCTCAATCCAGAGCTAGTTTCGTAGCCTCAGCCTCTGTTAGCAGAAGCCTAGTTCGTCTAAGCTGGCTGTAACAGTAGTAACAACTTGTCCTTTGGGTTTTGGATCTCCGAAAGTGAATCAAGTAGTAAAATAGTAACAACATCAGCTCCCTACGGAATAGTGTAGTCAACCTGGGAAATATGACGCTAAAAGCTGCCAAATTGGTCTGATTCTTGTAGGTCAGAGTAACCTCTTGTTAAAACTTACCGTGAAAACACTGTTTAGAGATGATAACGTATACTGCCAACGTAGATATTTTGCGATTTCTTTTCTACTAAGCTAAAATGCAAAACAATGTTTATTCGAGTTCATGAATGCTTTGTTAGATACGCTGTAGCAGACCTGTAACTCAAGCAAAGCGCGTTTACATAGGTTGGGAACATGCACATTGAGATACGGATACCCCACACATGCTTTTATGCAAGGGTGAAAAGCCGCCCCTTAAAGACGGCATGATAGGAGCTCAGAGACCCAAGTGGATTTCCTCGATCTGGATGAGAATTAATCAATCACTCCAAGTATATTGAACTGACAGAGAATTTTGACGGCTTTGATCACCACAAGAGGCCAAGGAGCATGAAATCATATCCTACTCTGACCTGCGATCACGTTTAGGCGAAATTTGTCTCTACCAATCCGGTCAGCCGGATTCTACTCTAAATAGACGACGTGACACCTAAAAGTTACTGGCACTACAATGTGCGGACCAGTAATCCTCTCGTGCATCAGGAAAAGAAGCTTGCTGCTTTGTCTCAACGACCAACTTGACAGAGCTAGTGGATAAGCCGCGGTATCTAGTTTGATACTCCTATACTAGATATTTATATATATGTTTACATTAGAGGCATATTCTTATTTACTTGCTAGCTTGCTTTGCACAGCCTGTGTCAGAAGAGTATGAAAGATAGTAGGATACTCCAACCTTGGTATAACCCACAGAAAAAAGGAAAAAACCCACACAAATCCAGAGAGTTGCCTTATTAATCTTTCCACCTTACAACTTACACCCCATTGGCGCCATGAGAATGACAAACGCTGTACCAGGAGCTTCGAAATAGCTATTTCACATAAGACCCCCGCAAAGTTAATCCAATAGAACAAAACAGCTCTGAAAGGATCGGGCTGGCCTAATCTCCAAGCCAAAAAGGTGTGCGCAGCGCCAGACATTGAGAAAATGAAAAAGGCAACAATAGTCTTTTTGAATAAAGACTCCGTGCGCAGTCTAAGAACTTCCTCAGCCCAGGCCCGACCCCAAACTCCTGCCGCGGGGGAGAGGAGCCGATGCCAGAACCGACCCCAAAATCTCCTAAGTGTATATGCCTCGCGAGGATCCCCGAACAACGATGGCCACTCATGCGGTTCGTCGATTCGGAAAACGCCAACGAAGAGCAGCTTTGCAAGAGTGTGGCTAATCTCGAGCTCGCTAATCGTATTCATGATCCAGCTCACAGATATGAAAGATCGTAGTCCAAGCTCACGGAGACTGATGGAGCCTGAGATCAAACGGCGGATCATAGGTTGTCGTGACGGCAGAAAGTCCCATAGAGAAACCTGCGATAACGCTGCCATAGCCATGCCGGTGGTGGCATACCGTAGGCTCAAGATTATAACCAGCTTGAGTAAACAGCTGATAAAGAATAGGAAATGAAACCCTGTGAAAGATGATGTTTTTTTGGCCTCGATCTTAGCTGATGGTAGTGCTCTCGGATTGTTGGCTTTCTTGAATGCAGCCCAGAAGCTCCATTTCTCTGATCCATCCGGCCTGATTTGCCGTGTGCAGGGCAGGCTTCCGATCACTATCGGTGCGTGAAGTGCTGTGATGAAAGCTGACATGCCCACTTGAAACCCTATTTGGAGACCTGCGACTTGACCTATGGTGTGGCAGGTCCAAATACAGTATCCGAGCAGTCCCCATACTAGAAGTAGAAAGATTCTTCGTCGGTCTCGTGGAAGATAGAGGCTGCTTGGAAGGGTTATAACCACCAAGCCGTAACAGGCAATTGGTGTGAGATAGTGGGTACTCCACATGCTCATGTGTCTGCGTTAAAGTCTGTACTACGATAAGGATCCAATTGTCGGTTTGGTGCTGGGTACTCAGTATCTTAAATACTCAATGGAAGCTTGAGTCTAGTGCTCTGAACGAGTCGTCTCGTCGGTTGCAATGTCCTACAGCCATAGTTATTCATTGGTCAGAATACGAAAACAGTTTATTATGGTCTCGGCTTTTGAATGGGGGGATAACAAATTATTTGCTACCGGTAGTAATCAGCGACGCATCAGTATACTTTCACATAGCGATGTCCAATAAAGCATTGATAAAGACTTATCGCGGAGGCCGTATAGGCTATTAAGCTATCAGGGTGGTTCGGAATAGCAATACTGTGCTGCAGAAGCTGACCGCTATGTCTAGAAATGGCAACTGAAGCATCCAGCTGCATAAAGGATTGGTGATGTGATCAGGCGGATGACCCCGCACGAAGTCCAGAATAAGGCATATGATTCGGCAATACCACGTAGGGCGAACGATAATGTTACTCAACCCTGGTTAGGCTGTCGTAATGCAAAGTTTTTGGGATAGCATCAATAGGAAGTTGAATACCTAGCGGCAGATCTCCTTTCAATTAATACAAGTAATGACTAGCAAATGAACATTGAAATGCCTAAGGTAATGCTTAACATTTAAGCAGGGCATTGCTGTTTGGATTGGTAGGCATCGTAGATGTGTAAGGCAATAGAAATCTACTCTGCTCAGGAAATACTTCATGCTGTCGGGCCTCCATTGACTATTACAGACATCTTGTCATGTCAGCAATCAACCCTGCGCTCCATGCCGGCGGAATTCCGTTGACTATTGCATACATCTTGTCGCATCACTTTTGAAACCTGCCCTCCATACTGTCGGAATTCCGTTAATTACTGCAATAATCTCGTCGCGTCAGCTCTGAACCCTACACTCCTTGCATAGTGCATACGTGATAAAGCCTTTGCTTGCGTATGTAAGACTTGCTGATGATGGAAGAACTCTTGATGTGGAGTACCATTCTAAGGAAAAAAGGCTATCTAGCATGTCTCCAGCTTGGAAACAAGGCAAGATAAACAGCCATGACTTGTTAGTCTAGATTCGACCATGACGAAATCTATATAAACCATCACAAGTCCACTTATAAACCGAAAAAGACCACGAAACCAAAGCATTCACTGGAATACATATCAAAAGCCTACTATCCAAAATTTGTTTCAAACACCCGTGTAGCTATTCACGATGCGCTTCCAAACTGGAGTCAACCTCGCCATACTTTCGGCCCTCAGCGTGGTCCCTGTCGCTGAGTGTACAGTTGACACCGCACTGAAGATTGTCAGTAGTGTCGGCGAAGTCGCTGCCGCCGCTCACGCTATCAAGCAGATATGGGCTCGTGAGGTGACAGCCGAGGGCGACTTCGCCTTGACTGCTGAGCTTGAGACAGTCACTCCCGAGATCTCTCTCGAGGGACGCGCCAAGCCATGTATTAGCGTCCCTGCCGGCGTGCCTTCTAACGTCGTGGAGAACTGCTGCGCGGCGCTCTCTGGCAAATATCTCTACATTTCCGGATGGAAATCTACTAAGAGTATGTTAAAGAGCTTACCTCAACCGTGTGGGCCTACACGCTAAAGAGAAAATTGCATGCTAACAAAAACTGGTACAGAAATCCGTGTTACGGGTATTCCCTATGCGTGCATCTCGGCTGCTCCCTGGTTTGATGGGACTGGAGTTGTTCCCTACGCCTGCGGAGATTCTTGTCTGGAGTGGGCTGGCCTTTCGAGCGCTGATTTCACTGCCGTTGCGAACGCTTTTAGCTTCTAAGTGCTTTGCTGTGCTCTTGGCTGGGGCTATAGCTAAGATACTATCTAGTAGTATTACAGTTTAGCCGCATTATTTAGCCTCGATTACCTTTTCTAAATATTGACCTCTGTAAGGAAACTTACTACATTCTGCAATTTTCCACATTGGCAGTCCAACCCGCAACTCGCGTATATACATGCTTAAGTTCTACTGTATTAAGAAAAGGCTCTAAGACAATCTAATCAATGTAAGGCCGAACTAAAAGATTAGCCTTTCGGTATGTTCTTTCAATGGTAGCTGCAGCTTCGGAAGCAAACCATACATAACACCAGACAGCTCCTCTTGCTGATGGACCGACTAACCGACCCAAAAACGAGTTAACAAGGGGAAATGAAACAGTCTAGTCTCAAATGACCGCACAATATTTGGAAAGTGACAAACCAATAACCACAGGAGGTTCTCGCTTAACTCTGTTCTCTGACCTACACACACCTTTCTTTCTGTTTTCGTAACGTTTGATCATGAGTCCCCCTTCGACACAAGGTGCCGTAAAGCGCTCCCGGCTACGAAGTCAGCTTGATGAATCGTCGTTTCTATTCAACGCGCCTAGAGCTTACGAGGTCGACAAAGATGCCACGATGTGCATGCGAAAGATCTCGTACCTGAGGGAATTGCCGGTTTTGTGTAAACAAATGGGCTCCGAGAGCAGGGGTTTGGTTAGTAGTCAACAACACGATTCTGAGGAATAAATGAGCTGGTTATCCGCGTTGACATGGTGATTGCATAAGTACTAATCTAAAGAGCGTTGTTGGCGAACACAGCGACGCATTTAGTACGATAGTCGTAATGAATACGGTCAAAGAAAAAAGCTCTCGGTAACCTTAGAACGAAGCTTGCAAGGCCAAAATTCGTCGTGCTCCTCCAGCCAGGTGTTTTAATTTCTAACAATTCATTTTCGCATTGGCGAAAGTTTAAGTTGCAAAAGATGTCTTTGGCAGACTGGCCTGTAAAACAAGATGTGGGTTTTCAATTGTTCAGAAAAGCAAATGGGTCTTGGCGATCTGGAGGTAGTTGTCAAGGCCAGTACCACACCCCAATAATAGGTGGATACAAATCGTGTTAGTAATCAACAAATCCGGAATGGTGTAATGGTCAACATTTGACGCTCTCATCCGAGGGCTCCGTCAGGCTCGGGGTTCAATTCCCCGTTCCGGAATTTGCCTATATTGATTTCTTTTTGGGCCTTCTGTGATCATATGACTTGCCCCTTGGCTATTCACGCGGATATAGTTGCAGATTTGAATCAAACAGCTTCGAGCCTTCACGCTAATTACCAACCGATAGTTATTACAACCTAACACGTCTTTGATTTCATTGTCCAGGTTAGTTGCGGTAAGCCGACGATGGACAGCAATGGAACAAATCTTCCTTCTGTCGCCCACGGAATTCTTTGCTGTGGCTTGCTTCCCTGTGGAAAAGTAACTGCAGCTGCCAAAAAAAAAAAAAAAACACATTATAAAACGTGACCGATGCTGGGTTTACGGTGGAAGCAGGAATAGGAAGGAATTGCCAGCAAAATCGCAGCAAGAGGGCAGTCTCATTGATGTGGAAACAGAAGGTATTTTTGTAGGTGGCATAGACTACGGCTGAAAATGATGAAGTATATTTGACAGACACCTTACTGTCACCATGGCCGCTTTATGTCGCTATAAGGGTGCATCGAGTAAAGATAATGCCGAGAAAGGAGGAGCTTGCGTCAAGATAAGAGTTGGCCTGAGAAATTGAAGCCATGCGCATCAAAGAGAACGGATTTGCGGATGGAGTGCTTGGCCGCTTGATACGCATCTTACAAGGGCACTTCTCTCGGTGGTTGAAGGTGTAGGTGAAGGAGGGTCGGCAAGTTTGGCCGGTGAACAAGTCGCAAGCGCAGTAGAAGGCTTGCAAGCGCCCCCTTGAACGCCAAAGGATCCTCATGTTAAGAACCTACATGATGAGACGACTGGCTTTACGGAGCTAAGGATGGTCGCAAACAAATCTGACGAACAGGTCGCTGATTTTATGAGATCATCAGTCTTAAGAACATCAAGTATGTGAGGACTCTGTGACAGCAACAACACATATCAATGGCTTGAATGAAAACCGTCCGCCGAACCGCGTATATCAAAGACTTCAGATGTTGAAGTTTTGTTTGAGTTGAAACATTAGCGAAACTATCGGTGCGCCTGGCTGCCGAAGTCAGGTCAGCAGTAATTTGACGTGTAACCAGCCTTCGGCGGTCCTCGGGGCTAAGTGAGGATTTTGGCCTGCGGCGCCATCCACAACCGCCCCTTCCACCCAACTTCCATGAAAAGTGACTGCTAATCCGCAAGGGACAAGAGTTAAACCTGAACCCATCCGTGAAGGATATGTTTCATTTACCACACAGCAAAAAATTCGTTTCATCATCGGCATTTCCATTCTCAAGTTGAACACTCCTACTTCCCTAACCCTGCTACATCACCTCGCTCTGGCAATAATCATGGGGTTCTCAGTTTAGTCATTTGTCGTGATGCCTTCGAGGCGAAGTGCGCAGCCTCACCATCACGTGACCCACATATCGCCTGTAGGGATAATTGTCACACGGACCACTGCATATATCGGGGCATGCATTCAACCCATGCACCCGGCTATTGTTTCCCATATAAAACTAACGGGGATGTCATTTTGTGCATGAAAACCTTCAAATCGGTAATTACCGAATAGACGGTTATATAATCAACCCAATAACCCCTAGACAGTCTCTAATGAATGGAAGCATCTTTTTTTACCCCATAAGTGGTGGGCAAATTGACTGCGTGACAGTTATGAGCCCAGTACCTCATGGTGACAATTACCAATTGAAAAACCGACTTCCAGAAGGGAGCAGTTCAGACTTATGCCATAGACAAGGGCACTCAATTGACGAAGTTACCGACCCATGAGACTTTGGCAGTCAAGTCCACCAAACAAAACATCAATTCCAATCACACAAGGCTGAACGTTGAAGTGTTGAAACATTCAATCACAAAAGAACTTCTGGTCATCAATTCATATCATCAACACTTATCAAAAAATCACAAAAAGTTCATCTCAACTCAGGGGGACTTACCACATCTGAGGAGTTGAACCCAGGACTCTTAACTTGAACCTTATATAAGTTCATGCTCGACCATACCACTGATACGCAGCCAGGAGGGTTGGAATTACGAAACGGAAGAGACACCTAGTTGCTCATTTTATGCCTCTGAAAGCTTCGGGCAGATAAGACGAACAGGTGGTTCACTTTATAGTCTTCGTGTAACGGAACCGATAAGACTTTTTACAAATTGCGAAAACTCCACAACCCTGAATTGAACCCACGAAGGGGAGCTTGCCAGTCTTACGGTCCTTGCGAATAGCTACAAGTTGGGTGGCTAGACCAACTACACTAAACGGCAGGTTCATTAGACAGGGGGGGCGTCTTGCGTTTTGTTGAGAATTGAGGCGTTGAGATTGGCTATATACCCTCAAACCTCTAGGCAACAATCGACAAAATCACCAACTTGAAACAAGAAGTGTCTAGTCACGAACTCAATCTTGGCCACGGCGAAAAACCAACTGCACAACGATCAGAAGAGAGAGACCAGTTCTCTTTTCAAGAGAGATCATGAATTCAACTACGGAAACTGCAAAATACACACAGCGGCTACAGACTGACAGCGACTGGAACCACTGGTTCAACAACTTACAGATGCTGGCAAACGTTCATGAAGTCTGGGACTATGTGAATCCAAAAGGAACCAAGATTAATACTAAGCCAAGATTGGAATTCCCAGACCCAAAAGACCTCAGACAAGAAGAACGAGCAAACTATAGCAACGTTATCAGCTATGGAAAAGCTATCTATCAAGAAGAAAAAGACCAATACAACCAGGTTCGGCGAAGTCTTCTAGAAATTCACAGTTGGATCATGAACACTGTAGCAGCCACTTATATCAGCCAAGTCAGCAAGGAGCAAACAGTCAGGGATATCATAAAAGCTCTTGAAAAACAGCTAGCGCCAGACAACTTTGGGAGACAACAAATGGTATTGGAAAGATATAACAAGCATATGCTATCAATCAAAAGAGCAAAACTTGGAGGATGGCTCATAATCTATCGAGAAATCATGGATGAAGCCCAAACAATCGGAATCCCTGCTCTCAGCGATCCAGTTACTCAAGTCTCTGAGTTCTTGAAAGCAGTCAAGCAAATTGCACCAGATTACTACACATCTGCCTCTTACGACTTCACAAAGCGATACAAGGATGACCCAACCTACAGTTCGATCAGCAAGACTGCTGGAATTGAGCAAGCTAACGATTTCCGCAGTTGGGTGAGAACTTTCCACCCAGACTGGCTGAATGCTGCTCCATTAAAAGACACGAGTTTCGCTACTTGGCAAGGAGAAAACGAACAAGGAATAAAACAGGGGGCAAAACGAGAGCAAAAGTGTGCAGCTTGCCCAAACGAAAGTCACCGATTTGTTGATTGCAAACATGCCAACCCTAAGAAGCGAGGCCCAAACTATCATGAAGATAATCCAGAAAATAAGAAAGCACTGGAAAGATTGAATGAGTATCTCCAGAAGAAACCACACTTAAAGAGAATAGTTGAAAAACTACGAAAAGGGGCAAGCGATCAGCAGTCTCAAAAGTCCCCAGATCGAGCAACATCTTCCTCAAACTGGAGAAACACTACACAATCATCATCCCACTATACTCAAGAAGTGTCTGATGGAGAAGGATCACTCTCATCTTTCGTCACTATCGTCAATCAAGGAGAAGCAAGTCTCTATTCAGGATTCCCACTGTCAGACAGTGTGATAGTAGACTCAGGAACAGGATTCCACATCTGCAACGACTCCTCAAGACTTCATGATCTCGACTACACAGTCACAAAAGACTTCACCACTGGAGGAGGAGATGTACATGCAATTGCGAAAGGCACAATGATCATCAAACCAAACCAAGGCGGCAAATCCA